ATTTGTGGTAACTAGCCAAAAATGTTTAAAACAGCTCTAAAAAAATCACAAATTATTTGAACCAAGTAAACTTTGTACTTTAGTGGATTAAATAATGTCATATTTCATGTGTAAGTAGAAAAACTTAATAAAATATGTACTATAAATCTTGTTAATTATTTTATCCTAGTGGCCCACTGCATGAATTCATGCACATTGAAAGGAAACTAATTAGAAGAAATATTTTAATATCACTATTCGCCCTTTCTCTATACTAGAAGTGTCAACCAAATTCATGATTGACAATGACAGATAGAACCACACGTGTGAGATGGCGCCAGTAAGAGCTTTATATGTATCGTGCATGCACGAGTCAACTTAGCCTTTTATTTAGAGAGGATAAACTTGCTTAATTAGACCTGCTTTCTGATTTAGCTAAACTTTTTCCAGCCCAGTGAAGCATCCCAGCTTCTCTTTCAGGTAATTGTCAGCAACACAGCAGTAAATATCAACACGAAGCAGATTATTATTGTAGACCACACAGGGAAAACAAGGGTAAAATATTTAACTGCAGCAGGGTTTGACTATATCCTGAGAAATGAGAAAACCTGAACTAATTTTAAAATTAATGAAAAGAAAATAGGATTCCACTGAATCTCCTATCTACCTACTCCAGGACTTCTGTGGATCAAATGAGATGAGGTACAGGAAAACGCTTCACAGACATTTGGTTAAAGTGTAAAATGTTTGGACCTGGCTATAAAGCAAGTCGTGTTCCTGGGCTGAAGAAATTGCAAGGAGGCTAGTCGCTATGGAGAGGAAGCTGGGTGTTCCTATGTGACATCATTACCTGGCTCCCACAGCTACCATTTTTGGGCTGGACTGGGCTGTGGGCCGCATTATGTGCCATGGGATCTCAGCAGCGTTGGCTGTGATTTGGTGGGGTGTCACTCTGAGGTGGTGGCGGGACCTGTGTCCCACTTGGGGGAAGTCGAGTGTGGCTTTGTGGGCACCAGGTCCATGGTACCATTTCTCTGTAAATGGCCAGTGCACATCATGGCAGCTTCTGCGTTGCGTGTCTGCCCCCTGGTGGTCAGTGCACATCATAGCAACTGGTCAGATGGACACTTAGCATATTGGCCTTTTATATATATAGATGGCTACTTAATATAATTCAGTCAAATGGGCCACCACTATGTCAGGACAGGGTTAAAGGGCATAGCTACTAGACTCAGACTGCTTCAAACAAATTGGTCAAATTTCAATTTTAGCACCTGCCTAGCTATGTGACTTTAAATAAGTTACTTATTACTTGTGCCTCAGTGGCCTAATTTGTAAAATGGGGAATATATGCTAAGCACCTTATAGGGTTACATGAGGACCAAGTGAGTTGATGAAGAATTTACAGCTGTACCCTCCACATAGTAAGCACTCAATGCTATATTAACCTTTACTAGCAAAATCTGAAGAGGAAGATCACACTTTAATTTTTCATTGTGAAAATTTTATAGCATAGTAGAGGCATGGTGCATGAAATTCATGCACAGGGGAATGGGAGTGAGGGTCCCCTCAGCCCAGCCTGCACCTTCTCCAATCCAGGACCCCTCAGGGGATGTTTGACTGCTGGTTTAGGCTCAATCCCAAGGATCGGGCCTAAACCAGCAGTCGGACATCCCTCTCACAATCTGAGACTGCTGGCTCCCAACTGCTCACCTGCCTGTCTGTCTGATTGCCCCTAACTTACCACCCCCACACCCACTGGCCTGGTTGCCCCCAATTTTCCCCTTCTGCCAGCCTGGTTTCCCCCAACTGCCCCCCGCCACCAGCCTGGTCACTCCTAACTGACCCCCTCTGCCAGCCTGGTCACCCACAACTGCCCCCCTGCCAGCCTGGTCGCCCACAACTGCCTCCCTGCCAGCCTGGTCACCCACAACTGCTCCCCTGCCAGCCTGGTCACCCCATGCAGCCTGCTATTCAGTTGTTTGGTCATCCTTCACTAACCCCCCTGCCAGCCTGGTTGCCCCACGCAGCCTGCTGTTCAGTCGTTTGGTCATCCCTCACTAATCCCCCTACTGGACTGTCACCCGTCTGGTTGTTTTGGTCGTGACAGCGCATGGCTTTTTATATATTAGGATACTTTTCATTTTTTCCTGTTTTAATAATCTTTTATTTCATCCATATTTTCATTGAGTATTATTTCTTCAAAATACTGGAATATAATTTTTTTCCTTAAGCCTTCTCTCTTCAATAGAAGTCTCTAAGACATCACACTGAAGACCTCTATCTTGGGCATGAGGAGAAGATCATGCAGAATGCTGCAGTGTGTTTTCACCTGTGGTCTCTTCCTTCACTTTACCAGCCTCAACCATTACCTTAATTTGCAGCCTATATGCTGAACTAGAGTTTTTTTTTTTCTTTCTTCTTTCTTTCTTTCTTCCTTCCTTCCTTCCTTCCTTCCTTCCTTCCTTCCTTCCTTCCTTCCTTTCTTTCTTTCTTCTTTTATTTTTTTCATCATTTTCTCCCCATTTTCCTACCTTCTTCCAATTAAATCTCCCTTTATCTCCCCATCCCCAGCAATTATAACACTCCAGCTTTTTGAGAAGCCCATATAAATAATACAGCAAAAGGCAAAAAGTCCCTGATACTCGCACAGCACATTTTGGGTTGTCTTCTTCATCTGTATAAAAGGAGACTATTGAGAGGTTGAATTTGTTTCAATACAACTTAAGCATTTTTTATGGTGTTCAATTAACTGTTCAGTATTTCAGTCCAGTTAGAGGAAATAAGCTAATTAAATGTAAGAGAGTGAACGTGGAACACCTCAGATTATAATTCTTATTTTTTAAAATTCCATTTTATTAATATACATAATAATGATATATTAAATATTCAGACCCATAAAACTATCAAAGAACCACAGAATGACAGAGGATCATAGAAATTAAATATTAGAAAACACTTAGAGGTCTAGCATCTCACCTGAGACAGAAATGTTTTTGTTCAACATCTAACTTTGTTTCTACATTTCCTGTTTAGGGAAGTTTATTACTTCTCCATTTTAGACAGCTCTAAATATGTTTAAATGTTCCTTTATATAAGCCAAAGTCTGGCTACCTCTAACTCCCATAAACCCTATTAATTATGTCATGACAATACTTCAGATATTAGAAGATGGCCAGCATTAATCCCACTTTCATTCTCTACTCCTGCTTCTTAATCTTCTTTCTGGATTTAACAGTGTCAGATCCTCTAACTACTTCTCAAATGGCATCATGGTTAGGTATCTTACTTCTGGATACTTACTAACTTTTTATTATTCTTAAATGAGTCCTTATGTGTGCATCAATGGATCATGTATTAATTAAACAGTGTCATCAGTATTTGTGCTATACTAGTAAAATATGTAGACCTGATGTAATTAGACAACAGGTAAGTAAAGGATTTTGAAGTAAGTGCTAGATAGGTTTTAAATGTAAGAGAGAGCTGAAAGGAAAGTCAGCTGAAAGCTACTCTAGAAAACGAAGTATAAGGTGATGAGGATCTGGATTGAGTAGCGATAAAAATGGAACAGAATGGGCACTTACATGTGGTGTTTCAATGCAACATTATCAGGATTTAGAAAATTCAGTAAATCCCATGGATAAAGGTGATTCAAAGCATACTGCAGGTTTCCTAACATGAGTGACTGATAAAAAAAATGTTAACGCTATTGTCAGAGACTAGAAGAGAGACCTAGTTTGAGAGCAAATCAGAGAAAATAATGAATTTGTTTGAAATTGAGACAAAATTAGGACATCCATTTATTTTTTTTTAATATTTTATTGATTTTTTACAGAGAGGAAGGGAGAGAGATAGAGAGTTAGAGACATCGATGAGAGAGAGACATCGATCGGCTGCCTCCTGCACACCTCCCACTGAGAATGTGCCCACAACCAAGGTACATGCCCTTGACCGGAATCGAACCTGGGACCTTTCAGTCCGCAGGCCGACGCTCTATCCACTGAGCCAAACCGGTTTCGGCAGGACATCCATTTAGAAACCTCTCTTGGAGATACTAGAGAATGGAACTGGACATGTGTGTATCTGAGTATATCTAGATAACCATCAGATTCAAGATAATGATTGTAGTCCAAGAACTGATGATTAGTCTAATGGACAGATGAGGAAAGAAAAGAACAAAAGACCTGGGACCAAGTTCTGAGGAGAGACATAGTTGACATGGCTCATGCCAGAAATCAGGGAGGAAGTATAAGAGTAGCAGACCTTAATGTCAGTCACATTTACAGAACACTAGTACGATTATGGAGCTAATGTTCTGGAAATACTGACTCAGTGAAACTATAAGGAAATCAGTTTGAATTTTTAAAACTTGATTATGTTATGTCCCAAATTCTAAAACTCTACCTTTTTTTAATCCTTAGAATTTCTGAAGCCCACTCCCTGTTGAAAAAAAGGACTCATTTGTGCTGTCATAGCTATATATGCTTTTTAAAAGAAAATAGTCATCTAGTTATCTTAAGTATTAGAAATAATTAACACTCTAAGAAAATGTGGACTTATATTTTTTATTTTAGTGCAGTCACTGAAACATGGAATCCATGAGACATAAATATCCAGATGAAAAGAAACCAGTCATCTGTACGATTTTTCTACACAATGTTTACATTTAGTTATGCCCCAGACAATGGATGACTCATAGTGTTTTGTGAAATATTGAACCTGGTTGGTAACTGGTTTCTTTACAACTAAAATCACAAAATTGGAAAGGTCATAAATATTTGCATTTGTGTGTTTCCAGTGTTTCTATAATTTTAGGGGAACTTTCCTTTGAATATTGCATATCTGGGATTTTTAAAGTATCTGTGTGTGTGTGTGTGTGTGTGTGTGTGTGTGTGTATCTTTTATTGGTATAAATATAATGCTTCCATTATCATGGGGGAGGGGACAGTTTATATGCCACTATTAAATATTGTCACCAATAGTCTACCTAAATGATCTTGTGTATATGTTTGTGTGTGCAGCCACAGTTCTTTCAAGAGACACCTACCACGGCAAATGCATGTGTCCAGTGTCGATTTTAGTATAGGCACAGAGCCCGTTTTACAAAGAGGAGAAACAACAACCAGCATTGGGAGGATAAAACCAGAGCTCTACAAACAGAAATCAGTCGACTCTGAGGGCAACAGGAAAGAAGATGTCAAAACCTGTGGGAAACTTAACTTTACCCTCCAGTATGATTATGAAAATGAACTTCTGGTTGTTAAACTCATCAAAGCGTTAGATCTCCCCGCTAAAGACTTCACAGGAACGTCTGACCCGTATGTGAAGATGTATCTTCTTCCAGATAGAAAAAAGAAATTCCAGACCCGTGTGCACAGAAAGACTTTAAATCCTCAATTTGATGAAACTTTTCAATTTCCAGTAGCATATGATCAAATAAGCAACCGGAAACTGCATTTCAGTGTTTATGACTTTGACAGATTTTCTAGACATGACATGATTGGAGAAGTGATTCTTGATAATTTGTTTGACGTCTCTGATCTCTCCAGAGAAGCCACAGTATGGAGAGATATCCATTGGGCTACCGCAGTAAGTAATAGTTCTACTAATACATTGCTTTATATTTTACCTGCAGTGGTATATAAAACAGAGTATTACCCAGCTTATTAAAGTAAGTTTACAAAGTCATGGAATTTATGTGCAAAGAACCTGCAAAGGTAGGACTTGATTACAGGCAAGTATTAACTCAGGTATCTAACAGTATATAGCTAACATTAGTAATTAGATAAATTTTAAAAAAGTTCTTACAAGTTACTAAAAATAATAGTTCTTCTAAGAATCCCAAAACACCAATCAGAAAGGATATATGCACCCCTCTGTTTATAGCAGGTCTATTTATAATAGCTAAGATCTGGAAACAGCCCAAGTGCCCTTTGAGGAATGGATAAAAAAAGCTGTAGTGCATTTATGCCATGGAATACTATGTAGCAGTAAGAAAGAGGATTTCACCCTTTGAGACAGAATGGACATACCTGGAGAGTATTATGCTAAGTAAAATAAGTCAATCAGAGAAAAACAAGTATCACATGATTTCACTTATATGTGGAATCTAATGAACAAAATAAGCTGACTAAAAAAATAGATCCAGAGACATAGAAGCATGGAACAGACTGATGAATTTCAGAGGAAAGAGGGGAGATAGGGGGTGGGAAGAGAGTAACCAAAGAATTTATATGCATATATGCATAACCCATGGACACAGACAATAGTTCAATGAAGACCTGAGGAGATACAGGGTGGAGGGGATCAATGGGTTTAAAAAAGGGTACATCTATAATACTTTAAATAATAATGATACATTTTTAAAAATAAATATAAATAAAATACTTATTTGTCACCTATTCCCAGCACTTCATTACCTCATAATTAATATTGGCTTATTTAAGATGAATGTGTCCCTCAGATCAAGCCTAAAATGTATTTTGATAATATTTTGAAAAGTCTTTGGTTTGGTCTAAAACAGCCCATTCCTTCAAAAACTTTTTTGGAATAGACACACTTACAGTATTTGAAATGCTGAATGGTCAACAAGTGATTTTTTTACACTAGAGTTTTAATTACAAAATGCTTTTACTGATTGTAAATAACTTTAATACGAAAAATTTGGAAAAAAAGCACAGAGTTAAAGTACTCTATAGTGCTATCAATTATATATAATATCATGCAATATTGCTTTTAAATTTTTTTCAATGCATTTTTAAACTTACTAAGATCAAGCTAAGTTTTAAAATATTTCCAATATTCTCTTTCATGCTATATTTGTTTTGGTGCATGATGTTTACATTTATGATCCATTTACCTAACCGTTCTTTTATGGTTGGACATTTGAGTTAGGCATAAATTTTGTTACACTAAAAATTATTGTGTTCTTTATATAACTGTTTTTTGTTGTTCTTTATTAATCCTCACCCGAGGATATTTGTCTGTTGATTTTTAGAGAGAGTGAAAGGGAGGGAGAGAAAAAGAGAAAGAGAAATACTGATTGGTTGCCTTCCCGGATGCGTCCCAACCAAGGGCTGAGGATCTAGCCTGCAACCAAGATACATGCCCTTGATCAGAATTGAACCCAGGACCCTTCAGTCCACAGGCCGGTGCTTTATCCACTTAGCCCAATTGGCTAGGGCTATACATTTGTTTTTATTTGAAATTATTTGTCCAGGATAAAATTATAGAAATGGAATTAGAGAGCTGATCCCATAGATTAGATTGTTGAATTATTTTTATTTGTTGGTTTTTAAAGGGAGGAATTTAATTTTTTACTACCAAGTTGTCTTTATGTATTTACCATCTTTTGTCTCTAAGTATCACCAGAATTTATAAGCTTAAAATATAGAAGTTATGAATATAGACAAGGCATTATTTTTTTAAATATGTTTTATTGATATTTTCCAGAGAGGAAGGAAGAGGGATAGAGAGGTAGAAACATCAATGAGAGAGAAACATTAATCAGCTGCCTCCTGCACACCTACTGGGGATGTGCCCGCCACCAAGGTACATGCCCTTGACCAGAATCGAACCTGGGACCTTTCAGTCCGCAGGCCGACACTCTATCCCCTGAGCCAAACTGGTTAGGGCGAGGCATTATTTTTTAAAAAAATAAGTGCACTATACTTAAATTCAAAGTAGTTCCTTTTATGTTTTTCTGCCTATCAATATTTTACTAATTAAAATCGGTAGTTGGGATCATATTTTCACTATAAATTATATGATAAGTTAATTTTAAAATTTATACTGCCAGTTTATTGCATTAGACAATAATAACATTTTCAGTTGTGTTTTTATTTTATGTTCTCCATTGTGATCTGTATATTAAGTAACAAAGAAGAAATTTGAACCTGGAACATATTTCAAAGATATTAGGACTCTTGATTTCCTATTGTTTTACCTTATTATTTATATTTCTACTAGGGTAAAAATGGTGAGCAGTTAGTTTTACTGTTGTAAAAAACATGACACCTTCTAGAATTCTATAAACACAGGTAACAATTAATTGTTACATTATTTCTCTTGATTCCCCAATCTTATATTATTTCCTCTTTAATTCATTCAACAAATACTTTGAGTGTTAGGCATGGTCTAAGGAGTAGGGATACCAAAAATTATTTGAAGCATGTTTTGTTCATATATTTAAGATCAGGGGTAAGTAACCCCCAAATGAAGTCTAAAAATTAGTATAACCTTTTAAGAAATTGATAGTGGATTTTTTTTTTTTTACATTTGTAAGTTTTTGCGTTTTAAACTGGTCCTTAAAAAAGTAGGAATTCTTTGTGGAAACTTCAATTTGGACATGTTTGTTTTCCGTAAATATTAATAACGCCTTCAGTTTTATTTTCAACTCTTCCATGTGCCTGATTTATTAATTTTCTATTTCTTCTGTAAAATTCACTACAGGTTTAGTGTCTTAAAACAACACATTTATCATCTTACAGTTCTGTAGGTTATAAGTCTGACATGGTCTAATTAGATAAAAATCAGGTCTGTATTCTTTTCGGGAGTCACTAGGGAAGATCCATTTCTTTTTTTTCCTGCTTCTAGGAGCCACAGTAATTCCTTTGTTTAGATTGGGCCCGCTTGGGTAATCTAGCATAATATCCCCATCCCAAGGTTTATGATCATTTTTAAATAATATGTTTTTATTGATTTTTAGAGAGAGAGGAAAGGAGAAGGTATATATAGAGAGAAACATTGATGAGAGAGGCACATCATCAATCGGCTACCTCTTACACACCCCCTACTGGGTATCGAGCTTGCATCCAGGGCATGTGCCCTCACCTAGAATTGAACCAGTAACCTCCTGGTTCTTGGGTCCGTGCTCAAAGGCTAAGCCACACAGGCCAGGGTCAAGGTTTATAATCTTAATCACATCTGAAACATTCCTTTGGCCATGTAGGTAACATATTCACAGATTCTGGGAATCAGGATGTGGCTGTCTTTGGGGTGCCTTTATTCTGCATACCACGTGTAAGGACAGTTTTATTTCAGTATTCTGGAAAGAAAAGTAAATAGGCAGATAATGAAATGTATTATTATATTATTCTAGTCAAATGACATTTCCCTTTAACTGGAACATTGAGCAACACACAGTTCCAAATATAGCTTATGAGTTTTTTATTGAGAAGATAATAATGAAACCTAAATGTCTTGACTATGGGACCAAAATCCACAATATACAGGACTATCATTTTCATGGCTAGCATAGTATTTAATTAAAAACCTCTTTTAACTTTTGAGCCAGAACTGGTTTGGCTCAGTGGATAGAGCGTCAGCCTGTGGACTCAAGGGTCCCGGGTGCGATTCCGGTCAAGGGCATGTACCTTGGTTGCGGGCACATCCCCAGTGGGGGGCATGCAGGAGGCAGCTGATCAATGTTTCTCTCTCATTGATGTTTCTGGCTCTCTATCTCTCTCCCTCTCTGTAAAAAATCAATAAAGTATATTTAAAAACAAAAACAACAAAAAAACCCACCTCTTTTAACTTTTGAAAAATCGTGAAACAATTTTATATATTCAGATTATAAAATGAGAAAAAATGATATAGGTTGATATTTGCTTAAGAAACTTTCAACTGTAACCTTTCTTTAACTTTAAATAAATTTATACATAAATTATAGACATTTATACAAAGAAGGAAAAAGGAAAGAAAGAAATATAATAACATGCCCTCACTCACCCAAATCCTGTGGAAACCTAGGTAATCCAGCTATGTAAACATAGATATAAAAGAATTTACATACCAAATAAAACATATATTTGAATTAATATATTTACTATTTATGTATTAGGAGACACTGATGACAGTATAAATAACTACCTATTTGAGCACAGATCTTGAAAAAAAAAACATTCTTATATTTTTTTATTTGAAACTAGGGGTCCAGTGCATGAATTCGTGCACCATAAAAGGAACTGTGGGCTGCGAGGCTGCAGTAGGCACAGAACTGGGTCTTGGTCCATTCTCTGTGACCCCGCCCTGCCCCTTCCCCTGTGCCCTGTCTGCCGGCAGCCCCGCTCCCGCCACCACTGCTCCCACTCGCTGACAGCGCAGAGCAATTGTGGCTGGCACTGTCGGTGGCTGTGAGTAGTGGCTGCTGCCCCGATTGCCCCTCAGGAGCAGGAGGAGGTGGAGAAGCCCTCAGGGGCAATCAGGACCAGTAGCAGCCATTCACACCCGCTGATGGAGCCAAGTGAGTGGGGCTGGCACCAGGCACCAGCAGCAGGTGTGAGTGATGGGTCTGGCACCAGCTGCAGGTGCGAGGGGGCCCAGCGCCAGCAGCAGGTGCGAGTGCTGGGCAGGACTGTATTTTCAGTAACCCCCAGAGGCTCTCCCCAATGACAGCGACTGGCTCCCCACCTTGGTCTGGTTCCCCCGCTCACCTGCTCCACCATCCTGCCAAATCCAATACCTGCCATGTTCCACACACGCCCCCTGGTGGTCAGCGCACATCATAGCGACCAATTGTTAGGTTCCGCCATTTGGTCTATTTGCATATTAGCCTTTTATTATATAGAATAAGCATGTATGAGTTTTTA